CTCAACCATTCTGTGATTCTGTGATTCTGTGATACAGAAGTGTGTAAAGTTCAGAAGTCTTTAGATCATTCATATTCAAAAATCTAACAGCACAAGAAGAAAAAGTAAAGCAGTGTGGGGTTGTGGGTTGCAGTTAGAGACACTGCACTGCCCTTTACAATACCTGGTCATAGGAAGAAAGCTGGGGTTGGGGGCACTTCATCAGGCTCTTATACATCCTAGATTTGTAAGGGATAATAAACCGTGCAGTTTCACCCAGGACCGGAATCACATTTTGTATGTGACTCCATTTAATGAGAATATGGCATGAATACTTGTGCACTTCTGCCTGTAATATTTTTCTGCTCTGAACTAAAATGCATTCAGTTTTGAATTCTTTTTGATACACAGTGCTCTTCACTACTGTTCATGGCTTCCTCCCACAGCACTGCTGGTCGCCCCTGTTGACTGCCACTACCAAAACCTGCCCTCTGTGCCCAACACATTCCACCCTTCACCTCTGCAAAATATGAATTTAAAAACTCTCTGAACATACAACCATTCTAAACTCCACTTTTAATATAGCCACAACCTTAATTTACAGCCATTTTCCCCTCTTCCCTTCATCCCAGACAATAGGGACTGACACTGCACAATGTGTTCATTTATTCAGTATAACTGCACCCCTGGCCGTAGAAGCCAGGTTTTCAGGGTTCCCATTGCCACAGTCTGGACAGCACTCCTCACAAACTCCACCCTGCGTTCCTGCAGACCCAGCTATAGGGGTTACCACTGCAACAAAACAAGCACTTGTCTGTCACAAACTCCGCTCCTACCTCTGTAAAACACAGAACCAAGAAGGGTAGGACAGCTTGAACCTACGTCCATTACCAGCTCCAGCCCTTGCCTCTGCAGACTAGATTAGCGCATGTAGCCTCATAAGAAGAGGAACAAACTTCATCCTTGTCCCTGGAAAATGCTCAGCCAAGAACGTTACAGCAGTTTGAAGACTCATCCATTGCAACTTCCACGCTTTGTCTCTCCATGGAGGTATCTCATTTGCAGGAGCAGCAGGATCAGGACATTGCGAGGGGAGGCACAGGAGGCTGGGGTCCGTGCATAAAAATTTCTTTCTCCCAGTCATTGTTTCTAAATAGTTTTCCTCCTCTGCTCCATCTTCCACCAGTGCAGTCCCTGCGAAGGTGTCCCTGCTGCAGCAGTGGCTCCCCATGAGCCACAGTCCGTACTTCTCATGGCATGGGTCCTCCAGGGGCTGCAAGCATGAGGGGGAAGAGGGTCAGAAGTGGTGGAAGAGAACGCATGGAGTTACTGGCCCCACTGCTGTGGGGGTAATATGCCACAGGAGATGGGACCAGGATGAGCTGATGCAGGTTGGAGGGACACTTGACCAGGCCAAATCGGGCCGTAGAAGATGGGGCCAAAAATTGGTGTACATACAAGTAGGCATCCATACATGCAGGGTGCACATGCACAGGCTGCACACATATACAGACTGTGCACATACATACACACCTTGCACCCACCCAGTACCCATTTTAAATGAGACCTCTCACAAACACACCCACAGAGTACACATGTGCAAGCCACACTGCTGGAACATACACCCCAGTGGCGTGCACACACGCACACACACACACACACCCACACACACACACACATATATACACAGAGAATGCCTACCCAGTGAGCCAGACCTCTAACACCCCCCCCCCAATAGCATACACACACAACCTAGAAACACCAGTGATACCTCATCCACACTGCACATGCGCAGACACAGCACAGAGCACGCAGAACCCACAGTCACACAACCAGGGTTAGTTCCAGACCAAATCCCGAAGGCAGCTGGGAGGGACTTGAAGGGTGGGCAGGAAAGCAGGTGGTGTCAGAAATTCCCTTTTGTCAGAGTGCCCCTGCCCCCCTCAGTGCTTCGTGGGGAAGGGTTAGTGCCAGGAGGCAATGGGATCCAGTCCAGGAGCTCAGATACTTGGGTCCTCTGCCAGCTATAGCGCTGTCCTGACAGGAAAAACTGGCCAAAGTTGTCAGTCATGTCTGACCGCAGTAGGTCCTTGGGCTGCTCACCTGCACCCCTGGGGAAGCACATCACCACCAAAGGGCTCCTAATGGCACCCAGCACTGCCAGTTCCCTGGAGCAGGGCCCTGCTCTCCTTGGTGTCCTCACAACACTTGGAGCACCCAAGTGCCTTTCCTTGAGGATCCGTACTATGTCTGGCATTGCTGATCCCCCCAAATCAGGACCCAACTCTCACTGGGGTCTGTGTGGCGCCTGGCTCTCCCTGCACCTCCCAGGGCACATGGTGCAGCCCCTGGCATTCCCCACCCCCAGGCGCCTTTCTTTGCATCAGGCACCAGGCACATAATGGACTTTCATCTCCAAGTCCTCTGGCATTTAGTGCATTCTTTAAAAAAAAGGGAGGCCTTTCTTTCACACAGCTGCGCCTTGCAGAGAACATGGACTTTGACCTGCCCATAGGAAATATGGCAGAGCTGACAGTATCTTCCCACATAGTGTACCCATGCCATAGTCTTTCACTCCAGCACACTGTGTGCACTGTCAGCCCACTGAGCTAGTATGAGCCCTGTCCCCCAGCCTTCATCTAGTAGCAAAGGGGTAGTCTGACACATCCATTTAGGGATGAGCTGTCTGCACTTCTGTCCTCCATTACAAGCCAGGGCCAATGACAGGAGAGGTGTGAAAGATGAGCGCAGAAATACTCTGGCATTATCTGTAAAGAAATATAAGCACTGTCACCGAAAAGATCAAAAAAATAAAATTGTATTCAGTACTCCCATTAGAACTGTAGATACTGAATTGTAGACACTGGAAGACAGACACTGAAAGAAATCCGAAAGACAAATTCCATGTGGTTGTCCACACCACGTTCTTGGGCTTGTTCCCCTCCTTACCCCAAGGAAGAGAACAAAGCATTGGCAAGGAAAGGGACGAAATAGACTGCTGCTAGACCCGGGGTCCCCCATCCTTGCCCTAGGGTTTCTCTGTTAGTGCCGTTTTCCAAGGAATCCTGAAAAATCCCTTTGAAAATTTACCGAGATCTGTCTCTCTGCTCTGGGGCTAACCCTTGGGAAAGCAGAGAATTCCAATAGGAAAAACACAGTCCCCATGTGCTCCAGCCAGCCAGCTGTGGTGGCCTGGAGGCCACCTGTGTGTGACCTGGCCAGCAGGCCCACTGCTTTGCCTCTCAATTTCTTCAGCCTTGCTGCACGCAGCCACTCTACTCATCTCCACAAGCTGAGAAAGAAAACAAGGCCATGGCAGTGAAAGGGAAGCACCTGGAAGTTACTGGCAATATGCAAATAAAAGGAAAGGAGGCCTAGGAAAGGCAGGAAATAAAGCCAGCTGCTCTAGTCCCAGTGCCTCCCTTCCTCTCCTTCTTGTGCCTGAATGCTTCTTCTGGAGCAAGCAGGGGGCCGGGCAGGATGCAAGGATCTAGCTCCAGCCATGGATCACCTTCCCCCCTCCACCCCTAGGGGATGTCCCATCTTCCCCTCCACGCCACTGCTCTCCCAACACCTACCTGTCACTTGCCCCGCTCCACAATGGCCCAAGGCTGACTGACTCCTCAGAGCAGGGCTGGCTGCTGGCACCACTCTTCTGCCACCAGGAAGAGTTTGCAGCAGTGGACTCAGCAGCTCAGCTGCCACAGCCAGAAGTATATCAGGCCCCTCCTGGTCTCCACCTGAATCCTTCCGTCTCCCTAAATCTTGGGAATACATTGTTTTACAGTGCCTGGCAGATATCTCACTGAATTGAGCCCCTCCCTCTTCCCCAGACTCTTTCCTGGAAGACCTACTCTCCTTATCCCAAGACTAGCCCCTTCCAAAGTTCACCTCTGCCCACTGCCAGTGACAGACGCTCAGGCAGCAAGTTTTGAAGGGCTTCTCAGCTCCTCCCCTTCAGTGAGCAACCCTCCAATGACTATTTCAGAAATACCATCCTGACACCTCCACCATCATCCGCTCTTTCTGCTCACAGCAGCAACGGCCTGACAAGCCTGAGCAGTTGCAATAGGAAAAGCCAAGCTCCTCATGGGGGTATGGACGCGATGGTTGCAGGCCGTTGTTGTGATGATGAAGTCATTGCCCAGGAGGGCAGCCAGGTAGAGCCCCAAGGACGATGAGAAGTGCTTACAGGTCAGAGAGCTGTGCTTGGCCACTTGCTTCCTCTGACAAGTGGGGAGTGTACAAGGAAGAAAAGACATGAACACATTTGGCCATATTTTCTGACTAAAATGAGAAATGAGATTAGCATCCAGGGTAGCTGCCTCTGGAAGAGCAGAGCTTGAGGAGGGATTCATCTCCTCCAGATTTACCCTCTTAAATGGAGGTTTCTATATCGGAATGTGTCACCACCAACTCCCACTTTGGTCAAGGGACTTTAGCTTAGTGCATAGTGAGAAGAGCCAGTCTGTCCATCATTCTTGGTCCCAGATGCCCTGTGCTAGGACTTCCCTCAGCTGCAGGGTACTCAGAGGTTACATGAAAAAATAAACTGGACCATGCTGAGATTGGAGGAGGCCAGCATTCAGATCTCCAAACTCCTCTCTTTATCTCCTGTCAGATAGGTAAAGAAGGACAGAGGGGATATGAAACAGCTCCTGACTTAGACCCCTGACTAGATCAAGGACTCCATGAAACGGGTGCCAATACCTGAGCAAGGCCTCAACACTCCCATTCTAGCCAAACAACTCCTGTATGCCACCTGCACGCAGCATTTCCATGGCCATAGCATCTCTGCCACTTCTCCATGGGTCTATCAGATATCACAGGGATTGTATGGGAGAGCTGTGCCCTTCTGGAGAGCTGCTCACAGTGCAGCAGGGCATCCATGGAGACAGGGACAATGTCCTAAAGGTGGTGTCTCTTGAAGGGAGAATTGGCTCATTCCCCCACCCCATAGACTGCAGTACTCAGAGCCCCATAGGTCTGAAGCAGGCTGGAAACTCCCACAACACCTTGTCCCTGCAGCATAGTGGGGAGCTCCCCAAGCTGGCTGAGTACTGACCCTCACAGGCAGCTGTGTCACTGCCCCAGGCACACAGTATCCCTGCAGCACTGGGACTCTCTTCTGAGTTACAGCCCTGCAAAGACATGTGTGCATCCCCTGGCTTCACACCACTGCATCCTTCCCCTGGAGAAGACAGCAGTGATGACCTTTCTCTCTTACTGGGGTATGACAAGGAACCTCTGCTCTGGAGCACCACCTCCTTTACACCTGAGGAAAAGCCAAGCGCAATCCTGAAACGTCCCACCAGTCACGGGATGTGCTAGCTTTAAAATCCCCCTCTCTGGTAACCTAAGCTGCATTGCACCACAGCCAGAGACTTACTGGATTAAGGGCTATGACAATATCTCCCCAGATGAGCTCTCCTCTGGCTTCCCACTCCAGACTGCCTATAATAGGTCTCTGTCTCATTTGACCTGTCTTTTGCCTGCAGACAAGGTGCTGATGCCTCTTGCACTTTGCAGAAGAGCTGCTTCTGGAGAGGACTGCCTCTCTGGAGAACCTGTCAGGTTTTCATGTACTTCATCAGTCACAGGAGCCTAGTTCAGCCCAGGAAGAGACACCCAGTGGATGGCATGACTCTCTCTGCCACCTGTGATCCCTGGAAATGCCCCCAGAGCTCCAGGGCTGATGGCGCCTGAAAGGCAGCAAGCTCAAGTGAAAACCATGATGAGCAAAAGAGCATCAGGCACCCCAGATGTTCTGCCATAAGCAAGATGAAAAAAAAGAAAAAAAAACGTTGCTACTTGAAAGTGAACATGATGATGTTTGGATGATGACTGCAATACTCTGACGAAAGTTTTTTTGATGAGGGACACAGTCAGGCATGTGAAGCAAAGGGTGGCCCAAGCCATTCTAGAAGTATTCTTTACTATGTGATAGACCCTGTTTTCACATCGCCTGCCATCTGCCTTCTCTCTCCAGGCACTGTTACGGGAGCAAGGGGTGACCATCGCTGATGCACATGTCCTACTGCAGATGAAGCCCACACATAGTGCAGTAGGACAGTTCAATACTTTACACTGCATTCTTCTGAAGATGGGTGGCAGCAGAGGGCTCCAGTTTGTCCCTTTGCTTGTTTTTTAATTTTCATTTAGAAGACCCTGTAACACCTGGGGAATGTTCCTGGAAGCAGACTGCGATTCCCTACATTCCCTCTCTAAAGGAAGGAGGGAGACCAGTTCTAGCATCATGGTTTATCCTCTCAGGGAATTTCTGAAACAGGGGGAGATGTGGAGCCCCCTTCAAAGTGCCCTTATTCCTCTCCAGTAACTAGACAGGACACCCCCAGAGGCTGAGGGAGGGATTCATTCACCCCTGCTTCAGTTGTGGATGTAATTGAGTCAATCAAGGCATGTAGTTTTGAGCTGCAAGCCCCAAGACTACAGTGGCATTAGCTCCCTCTCATATCCACCACAAGTACACAGGAGGGGGATGCCTCTTGCCTATGTTCCAGCGAGCACAAGAAAGGTATCTGCATGGAAGCAGAGTGAAAAGGGGCCCCATGATTCTTGCCTTCCATCTTTCCCCTCGTGCGGGGAATGGGAGCTTGTCCAGGGTAAGGAGAAGGGAAGGGACTCGCATCTTGTTGTGACCTTGGAAGGATAGGGTAAAAACAAAATGATAATGGGAAAAGGTGAAGGCAGAACTTAATGCTGAAAGATCCTTCTTTGAGCCATTTCCTTTGGGAGAGGTGTACGACCCTCACAGCCAGGGCAGTCCTGATCCTTGCATTCAGCAGTGAGGCTGTGGCAGGGCCCAAGAAGCTGAATCTCACATTAGATTTGAGCACAACTAATGAGAGAGAAAAGTCTGTTCTGCATGTTCCCTCATGCCCCTGCAAGCCTTGTAAGGTCCTGGAGGTTGTGCACCTCCCTAGCTCAATGAGCTCAGCACAGTTCATGCCTAGTGGGGCCAGTGACTTCTCCTGGCCAAGCAAGGCCGGTCAGAAGGTGCATAAAAGTCTCAAGCCATGGTTCAGTGTTGCTCTGATCTGCAGAAGCTCCCATCAAACCACACAGCAGCAGGCGATTGTACCTACAAGGAGCTTCTTAACCAGAGAGCAATTCCTACGGCAACGAAGGGGACACCATGACTTTTGAATACAGACTGGTGTAGCTGATGATTCTTTTCATGGCTTTAGGTACAGATCCTTGTGGACAGTGACAGACTCTGCCTTTGTTTTCCCAGAAGTCTTGTAGGCTGAATCAAAGGACACTGCTCCCCTCCAGTGGAACCAGGATCCACCTTGCTGCAGGGCTGTGTTTGGAAACTGAGGGATCACGTGGAGATGGCTGTGCCTGGAAACGTAGAGGGCTGGCAGTGGGTGTGCAGCGCTGGTGGGTTGCACTGTTTCCAGAGGAGGAGGGCTGCTGTGCTCTCCCTGAGGCCACAGGCAGTCATAGATCAAACTGGAGCTGGTGGCTTCAGAGCAGCAGGAAAGCAGTGCTCTCTTTGAGGAGAGAGAGGTCACAGAAGGGCTTGGGTATCAGAGGCTTTGCATGGCACTGAGATGCTCTGACACAGCCCCTGTGCCCAGGCTGGATTAGATGGAGATGCTATTTTCTATCTGCTTGGGATTAAGATAGTTGTAGGCCAGCTCCACAAGTTTATTCCTCTCCTCAATCTCCTCAGTGATCTCCTGGAGGCGTCCCTGAAAGACCCTGATCAGCTGTTTTGGCTCCAGCTCCGTGAAATGCTCCTCTGGATACTGGCCAAGGAACCTCTGAAAGGCATGTGAAGTAAGGTCAAAAGCCTAGATTTGAAGACCCTCTGAGCGAGGACTTAGCAAGATCTGCCTTAAGCAGGCTTCCAGTGCACACCCCACACAAGCTACTGAAATGCCTCTGGCAACACTACGAACCATCCTTTTCCACCACTCTCACATCTACCTCATCCTGCTCTCTCCTCCCCAACACCATCTCCCCAGACCTCCAAGCTAAGCCTTTCTCATTAGGCCAGCCTAAGCAGGTGACCCAGGTAAAGGAGCTACTGCTCAAGACAGAAACCAGCCTGTGCAGGTAAGCACCTATGTGCTTACCGTGTCCGCCAGTGTACTGCTCAACAGCAGGAGAGAGGTAGCGTTTTTGGCTGTGGTGGCCACAGTCGGGATGGTGTCCAGGAAAAGCTGCAGGGAGTACCTGCCCTTCACTTCAGGTGGAGGCTCCCTCATGGATGACGGGTAAAAAAAAGAGATGTGGGCTTCGGCTGCCCAGAGAGTTACTATCCCTTGTTCCCCTCCCAATTCCTATGCAGAGCAAAGACCCACCCTAGCTGCCCAGTAATGAGAGGGCTCTCTAGTCTATCCTCTGCCTTGGGATATGGGCTGGGGGTAGAGCTCCACCATACTGCCTGTGGTGATGAGTGAGAGGAAACAAGGTGCAGGAGGTTAAGTATGCCCACTCCCTCTCTCCCACCTGCCCAGTGTTGACAGCTGCATGCTGGGCTGAGCATGTGAATATTATCATGGTGAGGAACTTCTTGAGCTCTGTGATGTTCCATAAAGATGAAGGGATACCTGAGGAGGGGAGAGCAGAGTCAGATGGGCCTGGATTCCCTCAGAGCCATCCTTTCCAAGCCCAGCATATTGTCCCTGTATTCTCTGGTTGAGGACAGGTCTTGCAAATACTCTGTGCACTGAGCCCGAGATGCACTGTGCACTGTGCAGAGATGAGAGCTCTGGCAGAGACCTCCTCACTGCAGAAACTCCTGGTGTGCTGCAGTATTCCATCCTCATCAGTGACATCACAGTCTTGGGCACATCAGTATGCGACCTCCAGCAATGTAAGGTTGAGTATGGGAACCTGCAAGGTTACTGTGAAATCTCCTGAGGACAGTCTCATAGAAGGATGGACATTTCAAGGAAGCTCTGGGACTAAATTGAGGAGGAAATAGTACCTGAGGACTGTCTGCCCAGGAAGCCATTCATGAAGATCTCCTTTACCCAGGCCTGCAGCTCAGCATCTCTTTGGACAGAGTCATCACTTGCATAATAGAAATCAATGATGCCAGAGACAAAGCTGGGTCAGTGAGAGAAGAAAGGACTGAAGTGAGTACTGGGGAGGCCAAGAAATGTCCCTGGTGCAGAATCAGCTGATTCAGAGAAAAGGGCTTCCCTTACAGTCTATGCCAGTGTCCAGCTCCCCAGTTGCAGGGAGCACAGTGGGTAAGACCATTCACCACCATGGTTTTACCAATAGTAGTGGTCTCCAGTAGGAGCTGTAGTGAGCTTTTCCATGGTGATTTAGTGTAAGGAGTTCTTCTTGTGCCAGATCGTAGGTGTGTGGAGCCATTTCAAAGATTCTAAAATATCTGAGCTGTGTGCTCAGGTCTGAAATATATGAGATGGGAGCTACAGAGAACCTCTGCTGCTTTGAAACTGCAGCTGGGGGTCAGATGGGACAGTTAGGACATTGGAAGGTACAGTATAAACTGCTAACGCTGAGGTACTGGAGATTAAAAATTGTCCAAGGTCTCTGTCCTAAGGAAATCACTCTACATCTCTCTGTCCCTTTGAACCGATGTTACTAGTCTCTTCCCCTTCTCTTTTCATCAGCAACCCCTCCCCTCTGCCTCCTTCTCTCTCCCAGACTCTACCTGGCCATAGCTGTCCAGAGCTTCATCCCATCATCCCTGTAATAATAATTGGGAATAGAGGAGACTCCTCGGGCCTGGATGTCATCAGGGAGGCAGAGAGACATGTAGGTCACCTTCTCCAATCCCCTTTTCAGGATCATCATCAGCCCTTCATAAGAAGCACCAACACCCTGAAAAAGACAGAGCCTTTGAGAATGAGAGGAGTCACATGGAAATGACTTGGGCCTTGATCCAGATGACCAGTGATGCACTGCATTGTTGCTGTGGTTGCTGAGTTCATGCACAACAGCACTGTCCTCTAAGGGGAAAGAGAAACATCTTCCCTTTCCTCAGCAGGGCAAGATGATGACTGCTTGAGCCAGTGGAGTCACAGTAACCCACGGCCCGTTGGGCCATGAAGCCAAATTCCACCTAAAATGATGCCACTCACAAGAACCATCCTTGTAGCACAGGATTTTGACTTTATGAGAGAACATTCACCCATACCCATCTGTGTGGTCCTAGGGCTACGTGCATTACCAGTTCCCACTTCTCCCACTCAGGCATTTGCCTCCACAGTGACTGAAGCTGTGATTGTAGCACATATTCCTCTATGCTGGGGCAGCATGAAGCTGGTGACAACAGCAAGAAACATATGGCAGATACCCGCTACCTCTGTTCCCAAGACTCCTGAGCCCAGACCGTGACAGACTACAGAAGCATTAAGTGGTCTTCCAAAGGGAGGCCTCATAGCTTGAGGTTGGGATCACACTGCTCCAAGCAGGAGCTGCTGGTAGCCCTGTTCTGATGGGCCCTTTTATCCTGCAAAGCCAGATAAACAAGGCTCTTGACAAGACTGCTGGATATTGTAAACACTGGTGGAAGAATCCAAACACTTTAATTCCTTTCTTTTAGCTGAGGCAGGGCCAACAAAAATGTCTAAGCCAGAGCAATTCCCATCAGCCTTCTTCTCAAGGCAATGGAAAGACTGAGTGGCTGGCCCTTTTCTCAGAACAAAGGGACCTACCCCAGCCCCATCCTGCAACCCGTAGGAAAGGGGCAGAGCTGTGCAATTACTTACTTTTTCTATGGTGCCGCCAGGATTGATGAGCACACTTCGAGCCAAGGTGTTAATGTGCAGCGTGAAACGGAAGTGAGGGATCAGGAGCTGGAAGGAGACATGCAGGAAACTGGAAAGGATTAACTGACTTTGTCTCTAGGCTAAAGGTCCTTCTCCATCCAGCAGGTTCAGTCAGCAGCACTTCCCACAGCTGGACATACCTGCAGCCCCTTCCCCAAGAGAATGAGGGCCTGCCATCTCCCATATGCTTTGATGAGTTCTGGCACAGACAGAGCCAATGTGAGCTGGGAAAGGAAGTGTTTCAAGGGGTCTTAGGAGGAGAGAGAAGCCCAGTCAAGTGGTTAATGTGTTAGAGAAGACCGGCTAGGGAATGTAGGCAGACCTCCCTGGGGTGATTCTCACTGTGAAATTCAGAGGACAGCTACCATTTAAAATTCTAGTACACAGACTGAGCAAATGTGATTGCCCAGCCAAGATTTTTTTCCCAGATGTTCTACCCGGGCTACAGCTACAGTGGCACAGAAGCCACTGCCACTTGGAGGTGAACTCAATGGTGCCTGCCACAGACTTGCATATTCAATCCCAGCTTGCCCTAAGTGTTACTCTTCACAGGTACTCCCCTCACCTTGAACACAGGATGGCACATGGGCAGGTGCCGCAGGGTGGAGATGGCAAAGACCTCCCCAAAGAGGTGTGTCTTCAGCAGGTGGGTTATGATCTGATGGATGTAAAACTCAGCATTGCGCACCCAAGTCTTGGCTAGGATCCAGTCCCACTCGTTGTCACTTGGCAGGAAGATGGGACTCTTGGGGCCAGGTGTCTGGCTGAGCTGCAGGGGGACAGAGCCATGAAGAGTACCCTGTTGAAATATATGCCACCCCAAAGACCACTTTCCACCTTGGGATAGAAAAGTCACCTGCCAGGCCTTCCTGACTCTCTCCAAGGACAACTTGGAGAGCCTAACAACACAATGTTCCCGTATTAGGGGAGCTGCTTAATGCCCTGCACCTGGTCTTGCTGTCTCATGACTATCATCCACAATGAATAAGACACATTTTTCTGAATCTGCCTGATGGTAAGGCCCATACACTGATGATATTTCTGCCCTAAATGCACACAGGCCCTCAGGAAAAAAAAATCTTAGCTATAGGTTTGAAGCAATCTTTTCAACAAAGCAAAATAACTAATAAGTAGGGTTTGGCTCTATTCTCTTTGTTAATGACCTTCAAGCAGTATGCACCTTTCACAGCTGAATTTCATGAGGCCCAGTCATTAAGGTTCTTGCATTCCATGTGGACTGAAGCGCTTAAGTTTGGCTTGTTATCACTCTGCTTAACTTTGTATCAGCCACGTTTCCTGAGGCTGCACTCTGTGCTATCACCTAGGATGTTCATGAAGATACTGAACAGTATTGACACACAGTCTTGCTCTCTGGCCCTCACTATATGCCAAGCCACAGATCCCTGCTCTTTGAACCTGTGAGCCCTGCCAGCTTCCAAACCATTCAACTGTCCATTTGTCCAGCCTATATTTCGTCAGCTTTCAAAAGAAAATGTCATTGGCGATGGTGTCAAAAGACTAAGGTCAAAGAATGTTTCCTCCTGCACTCTCAACTCAAGAATGTTTCCTCCTGCACTCTCAGGATTGTGTGGAAGACAATTAAGTTGTCCACACATGATCTTCCCTCACGAAATCCATCTGCTTGTTCCTGATGACCTTCTTGTCCTTCACATACTTGGAAATAAATGCTATTTCTAGGGACTGCGGCAAGGCTACCTAGTCTGTAGTTTCCTGGGTTGTCCATCTTGCATTTCTCCAAGATGGTGTATGATGGCCTTTTTCCAGTTGTCCAGGACCTCCCTCACAAAGTCATCTTTTCTCATCCCTTGCTTCTGTGGGCACTGAGGTGCATCTCCTGGAAGTGAATGTGGATGACTGCTATGCAGGCATCTCCATCTGAGATATTCATCCTCATCTCCTTTTACAGTGCATGGAGAGGGAATCAGCACAGACAGTGACAACTTCTCATCCTAAAGTACATGCCTGCATTACGAGAGTTGATTTCTACTCCTACAGCGTATAGGGAACTCAGGCTGCCGGTTAGGAGACTGTAGATTGTCAGTAACTGCACCCCACAGAGGAAAAGCAGCTATTTGAAGCTAACCCTCAGAAATACTGTGCCAGCAGTAGCGAGTCCAAGAAGAGAGCATTCAGCTCTGCTAAGGACTTATTCTTCTAACAGCCTCACCAAGTTCTGCCTTACCTGGATGGCAATGGGGCGCAGGAGCCCAGCAGAGTCCTGGTGCAGGAGGCACAGAGGAGCAGCACTGTACTGCTGCTGCCCATGGATGGTTCCAGTGGGAATGCCCTCAAGGATTTCATAATCTGCAATAAATATATGTCCCTCCTGCAAGCAAAAAGCATATGCTCAGTTAGCAGGTAGAAGGGGGAGACAAAAATGCCCTTCAGAGTTAGGCCTACCACAGGCATTTGTATAGATGACATGGAATGGGGAGAAGTGGAGCTAAAACCTAAGAGTCTTGGTCTGCAAGCTGTGCCAGAGCAGTGCCTTGTCCCATGCCCCTCTCTTCCCCTTATAAAAACGATATCCCATTTCCTGTGTCCCCACTCAGTCTATGCCCACAGAGGATCAGTGAAGAGGCCCATGGAGAGTACCCTTACCCTTGGCACCGGTGCCCAGGGTGCACGAGGCCCTTAGATCTCTCTCTCTCTACCACTCCCTGGTGTTCCCAGGCCATGCGGGACCTCAGCCACACAGAAGGCTCATGCAGTGAGAAGCTCTGTCTCACTGGGATGTCCACAAGCCCTGCCTCACGCAGGCTGCAGAGCCAGAAGGCTGTGGCTGGAGGGGACCCTTGCCCCAGGCTTTTCCAGAGCTGACATTACCTGCATTTCCTTCCTGAGGTTAGTGTCAGCCCCCAGGAAACTAGCCACCATCTCCTGCGTCACCGGGAATTTGTCTGGCAGCTCCATGCACTTTTGAATCACAACTGGATTGTTGCCATTCAGAAACTGGTAGCCAAAAAAAGTGTCTTTGCTCCAGTGGCTGGCTACATACTCTGGAACTGAGGGAGAAAAAACACCAGACATTAGCACGCTCCTGGGGATCCCTCTACATGGACACTCTCATGCAATAAGAGTATCTCCATTTTTTTCACCATCACAACACTTATGATGAGAATTCTAGAGACAACCCTCATTTTGCCCTGCTCAAGCACTTCATAAATCAGTGTGCAACAAAAAACTGCAGTCATCAGGAAGCAATGGATGTATTCAGGACACAAAAATGGTAACTGGTTATTTCTCTTGCCAGTCAGAAACAAGGCTGCCCTGTATCTATGAAATTATAGATGCATGCTGTAGTGTGCTGCTGTTATCTGTTCCCTATGGAAATGAACCGAGGTGGTCAAGTCACATGTACACATATGTGTATGCCATGGTGTGCTGCAGGGCAGGAGGAGGAAGGCATTTTGATTTTCTCACTGCCAGTCCATCTTCTTTACAGTTCATAAATTGTTGTTACATTTGAAATATACCTCGAGCCCTTCATGGCAGCTCCCTGAAGTTACGTATGGGATGGAAGAGCAAGTTGCCTTACTGATTCAGGGGGTCTGGCATGAGCTGATCACTTGCTGGAAACAGGACAAACCTCATCAGTGTCCCAAGTATTGGGAAAGTGATTGCTAAATTTAAAAAAAAAAAAAAAGCCACCTTAAGTTGCTGAGACTTCAGTGCTGTGGTGTAGGGCCTTCAGGGACAGATTCCTCCATCCCCCCACCAAAGATCCATGTGGTGGCCAGAGGAGCTGTAGAAGCCTTTGGCAAGCAACTGCTTTGGTGGCCTGTTTTGAGTGCTGTGCTGCTGCCAAAAGGAGCCTCTCCAGCCATGATGTGCTTGGCTGGTTTCCCAGTTGTTGCTCTCCTCAGTCCTCAAGAAACTCTTGAGCAGGAGAGATCACAGAACCATTCAGGTTGGGACCGAAGGAGGTCTCTTATCCAAATTCCTCCTGAAAACAGTCAGCACTGAGATCTAATCAGGTTGTTCAGTTGCCCCTTGTCCAGTCATCTCCTAAATGCCTCCAAGGATGGACTATACAGACTATTTGGGAAACTTGTTCTTATGGGGAATTTTTTTTTCACTTAGGTCATTTCAGAACCTCCTCTGTTCCAATATTTGACTACTGTCTCTCATTCTCCTGCCTCCTGCAAAAAACCTGGCTCCAGTCTAGACAAATTCCTCATTCATACTAGAAGTCTTCCATTGGGCTCTACCAACAGCCTTCTCTTCTTTAGGCTAAACTTGCCCAGTTTCCTCAGCTTTTCCCTGCAAGCGAAGTGCTCCAGGCCCCTGACCATTGTCTTTGTTCTCCATTGGACTTGATCCAGTTTATTGATGTAATTCTTGTACTGGAAGATTCAAAACTGTATGCAGTGTTCCAGATGCAGTCTAGCAAATGACAAGTAAAGGGGAAAAATCATTTCCCTTGATCAGTATACTGGCTATGTCCACCAAGACCCCCAGGACCTTTTCAATAGAACTGCTCCCCAACCTGTATTGTTGCAAGGGTGTTGCATTGTGCAAGTGTTGCATTGTTCACAAGGACAAATGTTGGCATTTGTCCTTGTTGAATTTCATGAGGTTTCTGTTGACCCTTTCCTCTGTCTTGTCTAGGTTCCTGCATCCTCACAGTTAATACCTTGCAGTATGGCTGTGTGGCTAGTGTCACAGTGAGGGCTTTGGCATTTATCATCATAGGACTCTCTCTGAGGAACAAGAACTGCTAGGGAGACATGGGATCCACTTGATGAAGTTGGGCAAGAATATCTTTGTCAGAAGGCTTGCTAACCTAGTAAGGATTTAAACTAGGTTTGCCTGGGGGTTGGAGACCAAAGGCTGCAAAGAAATGGTGTGGGGAGAAAGCATACATGGGACAGGGCAACAGGGCAACCTCTACACTTTTCCTGAGAAAGCAGCACAGCTGGTGGCCAATCAGAATTGCCTGCGCACAAACATATGGAACATGGAAAACAAAGAGGAAAACCTGGGAGCCTACATGCAGTCATAAAGCTATGATGTCATTAGGTTTACAGGTATGTGGTAGAATAGTTTGCATGACTGGAATATTGTAATAGACGGATACAGTCTCCTTAGGAGGCCAGGAAGGTAAGAACGGATGGTTGCACTCTGTGTAAAGGAGTGACTCAAATGCAAAGAGCTTTACTTTGGAACAAGTGACTGAGACTTTATGGGTCAGGATAAGGAGAGAAGTTAACAAGAGGGATCTTGTGGTAGGCATCTGCTACAGAACACCTAATCTGGAAGAGCAAGAAGATGAAGTCTTCTTTAGAGAACTGGCAGGGGGAAGGAACCCTCATGATCACAGGCCCTGTTTCTTATGGAGAAGACTTTGGCTACCTGCCATCCACTGTAAAGGGAACATGGTGAGGAGAAAATATTCCAGGAAATTTCTGGGGTGCATTGAGGATAATTTTTCAACTCAGGTGATGGAAAAGCTGAGTAAGGGAGTTGTCCTGCTGGGCTTGCTATTACTAATAAAAACTTGTGAGGGACATGAAGAAGGGAGCATCCGGGGCAGAAGTGACCACAGTAAGGCTGAGTTTAAGATCCTGAGGGAAGTGAAGAAGGTGAGTAATAAAATAAAGGTGTTGGCCTTCAGAAGAGTGAATTTCAGCTTGGCTAAGGAACTAGTAGACAATAATTTATAGGCGCCTGTCCTGCAGCAGCAAAAAGGCCCAGGAGAGCTGGATAAGCTGCAAGAACACCATCCTCTGAGCAAAAGAGTGTTCTATGGCAAAGCTCAGAAAGTCAAGTTGCTTTGGCAGAAAGGCACTTTAGCTCAAAGGGAACTTCAAGCCAATCTCAAGCAATAAAAAAGTGAATACAGGAGGCAGAAGCATGGATAGCTTACCAAGGAGGAATATAGAAGCAGTGCCCAGTCATGAGGGAATCAAAGCGGGAAAGCCAAAGCTCAGCTAGAGCTGGAACTAGCAAGGCATGCAAAGGGCAACAGGAAGGACCTATTAGTAGATTGGCAGCAAAAGAAGGACCAGGAGAAAGTGTCTTCATCTGAAAGGGGCAGGTCTCTTAGTACTGAAAGGCACAGATGAAGCTGAGGAACTCAGTCCCTCCTTTGTTTCTGTCCTTACTGATACGGCTGTTCCCTGGTATCCCTGGTCCCTGAACCTAGCAGCGGAGTCTAGGGAGAGAAAAGTATTACTCACAGTAAAGGAATACTAGGGTCCACTGAAACCAGCTGGACAGGCACTTGTTCGTAGGACTATATGTGATGCAGGAACCTTGAAAAGTTCAATAAAGGGAAATGCAAAGCTCTGCTCCCAGGATGGAGTAAATTCCTGTGCCAGTACAGGGACTGACTGGCTAGAAACCAGCTTTGCAGAAAAAGGTGTGGGAGCCAAAATTCATGGACAAAATTTGAAGACAAGTTAGCTGCGTGCCCTTGCGGTGATGCAGACCAACTGTATCCTGGACTACACTAGTAAGAGCACGGCCAGTAACTTGAGGGAAGGAATTACTGCTGCATATTTTCCCCTTGTATTGATGCACTGGGACTAGTGTGTTCAGCTTCGGCTCTTTGGTATAGGAAAGATAGTGACGAAATGGAGCAAGTCCAGCACAGACCACCAAGATGGATAGAAAAATGAAGCACATAACATATGAGGAGAGGTTAAAGGACTAGATTTGTTCAGCCTGGAGACATGAACAGAAGGGAGGATCTAATTGTCATCTGCAACTGTCTAATGGGAAAGTATAGTGAAGATGGAGCCAGATTATTTTCAGAGGTGCACAGCAAAAGGACAGGAGGCAATGAACACGAGTTACCATAAAGGAAATTAGATGTGAGGAAAAAGATATTCTGCGGGTGGTCAAATCCTAGAACACGTTGCTCAGAGAACTGGGGAGATCTTCATCCTTGGAGAAACCCAGAACTCACATGGAGAAAGCCCTAAGCAACCTGATGAAACATTTTAAGATGGCCCTGCTCTAAGCAGGGGACTGGACCAGATGACCTTTGGAGTTCTTTCCAGTGAAAATTTTTCTGTGTTTTTACAGTTCTACTAGACAAGATCTGGAGGGTTAAAATTATCAGTCAAGAGACTCTTGCTGCAGTTATATGACTTGTCTGGGATGCTGTGTAAAGTAGAGATCTCGCTCCTTCCTCCAAAACACACATGCACGCACATACACTGCTCCTGGAATGATAAATTAACTTTTCATTTATTTTGCAATGCGATATTGTCTCATACTATGGCTGATCTGAATTAAATGGCTAAATGCAGAGATCCCAAGGCTCTGCCTTCTCAGAGGAACATCCTTCTTAAAAGGCTGTAAAGGCAACATCTTGTTTCCTACCTCTGTCTCCCTGGTCTCAAGAGAGGAGAAGGCACAGCAGAGGATTCTTCTTAGGATACTGCTGCTCCATCTACAACCATGGACAGTGTTTGGAAAGCACTGCAGATGTATGCTGTTTGCACCTAGGAATGGATGCAGAGGCCCTCCAAGCAGAGCAGCCTTCTTTTCCCTCAGCACAACAGGAGGGCAGTGCTAGGGAAACTAATAATCTCTTCAAAAAGTTCATGAAAGCACATCAGGGAAAAACAGGGAGCAGAGGGGCTGGGGAAGAAACAACTGAGACACTGCCAAACTGGAGATATGGGACCACTTATTCATGGGCAGTGAAATCAGTGAGATCCACTGTGAGGCTGAGGAGTTGCTAGCTGCTTCCCATTTGGGATCTGGAGCAGGCATTAGAAATGTTGGGAGACATCCATGCATACTAGGCTGAATGCAAATACAGACTGGCAACAAATTAGTAGAAAAGTGCAGGTCTGAGAAGGAAGCATGATACAGCCCAGAATGAGGTCCAGAGGATGCTTGTGGAAGAGCCAGTGCTGTCTTTAGAGGTATAGGAAAAGAGATCTGCTTCCTGCTGCTCAGTCGCACCAAGACCAAAGACACAGGGTGCTTTCTGTGTAAACAGTCAGTGTTATTGCAATGGAGCATGGGAGCACTCCAGAATTACTCTAGCAAGGGCACTTCTAGCACTACTTGGCCACAACCCTGTCCCTAGATCTCTTTGCAGTCTCCTTGCAGTGCTGGATCCTGCCCTCAGCATCTCCTGCTGCCAATAAGATGAGAGGTTTTGAAAGCAGAGCACATGCACACCTTCACATTCTCTGAGCTGGCTGCCAAGGTTTAGAAACAAATAAAAAAAACACCTTTAAACCGTCTGCCAAGTGAGGGATATAACCTGAGAGGCTACTTAGAGTCTCTATATGTAATGTAAGGGACAGCATGTGTAAGGAACCTTATTGTGCCTGATGGTAGTTTAAACTTGGGTGAGTGCCCCAGGGAAGCACTAAGAGGTTTTGTCAGATAGCTGATGATGCTGATAAATATTTATGTATGAGGTGAGAAGGCTGGGCTTTTGTAGTGGAGGAACAACCTGAAGATGTGCCATGAGACCAGGCCAGAGTAGCTGTTGCTGGTGGATGTGATTAGGGTATGTATGGAATATGGAATATGGGATATTATTCCTGCCGAGTCATAATGCACTGAATGTGGGGAGGATGCTATTCTGCTACTGATCTTATAAAGCTGGGTGAGGGAAGAGAAGTTCTCCTACTGAGTATGGTGGTCATCTCAAAGGGTTGCTAAGGCTATGGATCTCAGGGTTCTTTGGGGTCAAAACAAAGTTGACATACCAATATTTCGCCCCTTTAGCTTGGAGAATATCTTTTCCATAGTTTCCAGGCTTTTCCAGGAGCAGTGGTTGTTCAGAAACCCCATAAAAGCCATTCTGAGTATTCTGTGAAAAGAGTTGGACAGCGTGAATGCCATAGCTGGTGAGAGACCTTCATCACCTTTTCATTATGACTTCCTTTGTTTTCTCTACCTCCTGGCAATCACATTGCTCAGTCCCTTGACGTCACTCACGCCCCTACTCCTGGATTCCTTCTTTCTCCTTCTCCCACCATGGTCACAAGACACCCTTGATGCTGGAGCACAAAGCAGCATCTCCAGTCTTAGCCTGAGCAAGGCCTGTCTGAGTGAAGGGAGACCCCTGCTAGGTCTCAGTGGGAACAGAGTGGGGAGGGAGGAGAATCATGGGTCTGCTGGATGCATTTTCTCGATCTTGCAACAATCTCCTCCCTCTCACAGAAAATTTAAATCTGCATACACCAGTTTTCTGTGAGACTCAGAAGGTGGACATGTCTGCATGTTTAATGGGAGCCCTGAAGTTTTTTGCCAAATGCTGTGGTGTACAGAGGGATTCACAGTGGCTTATAGCTGGATAAAAGTAGGAGTCTGCAGGGAATCTTTCACACATCTTTGGAGAGAGAAGGGTAGGAGACAGGCCTGTCTACTGGAAAATTTGACATCATCCTCTTGGGAGAACTAGAAATGCCATAATAGTCTCTACTGAGGGATCAGAAACACTTGCCAGATTTCCTGTGGACTCAGTGGAAGGGCAGGAGAGACCACCATGGGGATTTCTCTTGGGGTTAGGTGCAGGACTCTGCACCTACAGGGAGTCTTCAGGGACACCCAGGAGGATTCTCCCTGTTTCAGGCATGTGCAGCTTGTCCACATGAGTGTGTGTATTTCTCCTTGCCTCTCACACTCTTAGAAGTATAGGCTAGAAGGGACTTTTCTTTCATGAATGCATATGGCAGTTACAGCCTTGACTGTAGTTTTTTTCCAGCTACCCAAAACTGGGGGGAATAATACCAAGTGCCCAGAATCTGAGGTCATTAAAATATATGTTAAAAATTTACTGAAATGTTCGGGTGCCATGGAAGTCTTTGGCCCGTATATAGGAGAACTTAGTATCTGAGGTCAGGTCCTCAATTGAATCCACATCCAAACACAGGGGCCAGCCCTCAGCAAAGCTCTTCCACCTGCATGGTGAAACAGGGATATTAATATCTGAAGAGTACAGATCACACTTCCCAAGGACTTTGTCCCAGCATCAGATCTCCAGTCACTGCTGTGCACCCAGTTCTCGGATTCACAGCACCTTTGGCATAGAGAGATGGCAAACAGATAGGTACCCAGGAGTACCACTTTAAATAAAGGATATAAAGAGCAGGTTTTGTGCTGCAATGATTTCTACACTTGAAAGTCATGCAATATAAAGGCAAAGGCCATACTGAAGTCTGAGTGTTCAACATACAACATTACCTTCAGCCACCCAACCAGGGAGAACAGAAATATGATGTAACTGAGGACAATTTTTCATGAAAACATACACATACTGATGGTGAGGACCACATTCCCAGTTTTTAATTCTTTAGTGGCTGAGCCCTTTAGATGCTGTTCTCCCATGAGTGCTCACCAAAACTGAGGTTCCTATCTTCTCCTCAACGGTTTTACTCGGGAAAGGTCAGGGAAAGATTGAAGGCAGGAAGTGAGAAGTTCCTCTTAACTATGGAATGATGGAAGATAAGAAGGAACTGCCCCATACTGTAGAGACAGCACTGAGACCCCATTCTGCATGAGGCCACACTCACCGGAATGCTGCTCGTCTCTCCTCCAGTTCATATTGTCGATGTTGTTTGAGGATGTCATACTCATCATCACTGAGAGTTTTACCTGGCAAAGAGGAGAGAGGGACTGAAGTCAGTCCCGTTGTCATGAGGCAGGATGCCCTGCTTTCTCTGGGCCTCTTTCATTAAGAAAGGGCTTGAACATAGCTGCGTAGAGAAGGCCAGTTTCTTGCTGTCTCCTTGCTTTTTCCAAAAGTGAGGAGTGGGACAAGAGGTTCCCCAAAGGCTCCTACCTGTCCCTTCCCGGAGCTGCAGTGGGATCTCATCCTCCACCCATTGGTAGCAGGGGAAGTGGTAGGCCTTTCCCTGGGGTGAGGTCACACAGACATCATTACAGAACCAGGCATCTTCGAAGAGGATTCGCTCCTTGTACAAGCGGATTAGCAGGATAGGACCCAGGTCATGCTCACAATGAATCTTGGCCTTCACCTGGAAACGACGACAGAGGGACACCTCAGAGCAGCCGTGGAGAGAAGGTCATGGAGAGTCTGACTCCTCTAGGAACTCCAGGGCAGCAAGAGATCGCTGATGACTATGCCTACACAGATCCTGCAGATCCCCTGCCTCATCCATCAGCACATTAGTCTCAACTCCACGTTGTACCTCCCCAGAGGTTTTCAAACGTGATGGGTGGGGGAGAATTGAAAGGGATGATGGCTGGACTCCAGACTCCCCTGTCCATTTGGGCTGCAAAGAAGTAGTAGTTCTCCAGGTACTCTGCTCTTTCCCTCTCCTGGAATTCCTTTGCTCCATCCACCCCCAGACTCTACTCAAGGACCCCATGAACTCACACAGTTGGTCAGGAGTTTGTGGCTGAGTTTCGTCTTGGCGCTCTCCCCTTCAGTTCCCACCAGAGTGATGCTGATGGAATTTGTTGTCCTTGCCTGAAAGACATCACCTGTGGCCACCTGGACCTCGTATGTGGCCATGGAGCATTCCTGAAGGCTCTCAGTGTGGGTGGAGCTATGTTTGTGTCTCACTCTTTCAGGCAGGGCTCACTGTGCTGAGGAGATCAGACATGTTTATTTGATGCCACCCTTCCCTCACCCTCTCTTCCAGCACACAATTGCAGGCTTCTTGCTGCTTCTGCTATTGCAGGGCTGACAGAGCTGTCTGGGTCTCAAGAAGGGCTGTGATCTGAGTGTCTTTGTCATATCTTTTCTGGTCCACACTCACTTTTTACCTTAGTAAATATTTGAAAATTGATTCACTCTCATGGTCTAGAATGGGTAGCTGAAAAGAAGTGAATCCACCCACTGAATGACCAGCCAATAGTGGTATATTAATTCTGCATTACCTGAACTCAGCCCTTTGCAATGGGTAAGTAAAGAGTAGAGCCTGAGCAGGCAAAAAGCAAGCCAATGTGTATGCTGAATATGAAAATTCCCCTCTTCTCAGAGATGCCTACTGCATGATGAAGCTGTACAAAAACTGGAAGGAATACCCACTAGGAAACACCTTTAATCAAGTGGAGATTGAAGCAGATTAGGCAGAGGAAGCCTCCCTCACGATTGTGGGCTTTAATATGCATGGGGAACTTGAACCACCCCTATATCTGCTGGAGGTGCAATACAGCTGTGCGCAAGATAGAAAAGAGTTCTGCACTGAAGACACTGAAGACAATTTCTTGACCGAAGTGATCAGTGAGCACACTAGGGGACATTCTCTGCTGGACCCATTACACCTGAATTGGAAGAACTGGAATGGAAAGTGAGCGCTGAGGGCAGTGTTGCCTGCAGTAAACATGGGATGGTGGTTTTAAAAAAAAAAAACAGAGAGAACTGAGCAAGACAAACTGCAGAATCACAATCATGAAATTCAGGAGAGCAGACTTTTGCTTGTTCAGGAAGATTGCCCTGGAGAGCACAAAGGTCCAGGAGAGTGGTTGATCTTTGATGACAACTTCCTCAACCCCAAGAACTGTCTATTTGAACATGCAGAAAGTTGAGCAAGCCTGGCAGAAGTGCTGCATGGATAAACAGGGAACTCCAGATGGAATTGAAATGCTGAAAAGGAGTGCACAGAAAGTGAAAGGAGTGATGAGTTACCTTGGAAAAATATTAAGACATTGCCCAAGAGTGCAAAGATAAAATTAGAAAAGCCAAAGCTCTGTTGGAAGCAGAGCCCCCCCCTCCCCCCCTGCCCCC